TCTTTCTTTCTCTTTCTCTCTATCTTTTCTTTCTCCCTCTCTTCTCCTCTTCCTTCCTTCTTCTCTCCCTCTCCCCTTCCTTCTTTCCCTCTTCCTCTCCTCTCCCCTCCCTCCCTTCCTCTTCTTTGGTATGAGTATGTATCACTTCCTAGTTCCTAAAGTTGAGATAGCATGTTTTTCTACCTAGCTAAGTTTGAAGGGATGTTTGAAGGTACATTCAGTGCGTGCCCTATTGAAGAAATATTAGAAAAATGGATTGTAGCATAACGGGTTTGTTTTGACTATCAATCGGTTTGATTCTTTTAGATGTTTAAAGCCAGGATAAGAATTTATTTTTGGAAAGATAATTGATCAAATTGATATTTTGGAAGAAGAGAAGGACATTCTAAGAAATATTCATCATGAATCCAAAGGACATTACCAAAATTTTGAGGGTAGGTGTGAATAATTCTTATGAAAACATTGTCTGGATTTGCTTATTGTGCCCAGAAAACACAGCCCTGTTTCTGTGATTTAAGCTTCCTGTGACCGTCTTGTATGATGACAGCAATTGTGGCTTTTAACCCTTAATATGTAATGCAGACTTAGGTAAAGCTAATGAGTTTCAGCTTCTTTATCAATCCATGGTCAACATTGTTTGTTTGTTTTTATTCAGACCAATTTAAATGCAGGATGGCCGAGTGTTAGAACTGCAGTGTCATTATTTAGATACATTTTTGCATTTTCTTGAAGCTTTTTCCCTATATTTTTTTAGTCACAGACTGATTCAATCTATAATATGAGTCATGCAAAGCAGATACCTGAGCTGCCGCCATTGCCTTCAGCAGCGGTCTCTGATCCCTCCCAACTGTATCAGGTGAGTCCTTGCCCTCTTATTAGAAAATAGTTATTATAGGAAGCCAGTTCGAGGTAGTCCTTGTTTAGCAACCACAACTGGGAACCGGCACCTGTTGTTAACTGAAACAGTTGCTAAGTGGGAAATCAGCAATTTAGCAACTGTAATTTTTCCTTTTTCCCCATTCAGTCCAGCAGCACTGGGTTTAGCTGGGTGACAGTTGACAAGATTAACCAGTTTCAAATCTTTCCCTTCTGTTTATATCCCTTCTGCCTTGCTCACCTGGGAACTGGGATAGTTATCCAGAATGGAATTAATGTGTATATTTACATTCATTGAAGAGGAAGGGATTGCAAGAGAATAAGCAGGCTTACAATGAGGAATACACATTGAAAGGAAGCTGTGAGCGAGCTACACAAAAAGCCTGATGTATTCCCGGTGTGTGCCTGCTTACTCTCTTGTAATCCTTTCCTCTCCACACTCTCTGCTGGCAGGGAAGGAGAAAAAGTATATCAGACACTAGAGAGATTGCTTACAGAGTGGCTTTTTCTTTTTTCCTCAATCTCACCTCTGCCTGACCTTTCTTTTTCCTTCCCCACCCTTGCAGAGTAGAAAGATTGGAGAAGAAAGGATTACAAGAGAGTAGCAAGCACACAAGAGGGAATTACCCATCATGCGGTGGCACTGGCAGCTCTTGAGCAGGCTAGGCAAACAGCCCAGTGCCTTCTCCATTGTGTGCCTCCTTAGTCTTTTGTAAGCCGCCTTCTCCAATCTCTCCATTCTGCAAGAGGGGGAAAAAAGGAACAGGTGTGACACAGGACAGCAGTCTCTGACTGTACTGGCCATCACATGACCGATGGTCACTGCTACGTTGGTTGTAAAGTTACTTTTTCAGCACCGTTGTAACTTTGAACGGTTGCTGAACGAGGCAGGGTAAGTGAGGTCTATCTGCACTTCAGCTTTCCTCTGCTTTCAAGACCTGCGGAAGTTATAAATGGGAGGATTGGTTTTAAAGTTGTTGGTTTTTTTCATCACTGGTGTGACTGCAAATGGTTGGTAAGCCAAGCAGTCGCTAAAAGAGTACTCTTTGGGAGCAAGCAGTAATCTGGGAAAAAAGATTCCAGGAAATTAATTAGTTTAGTTTAGGCCTTCCTCCATTCTGGGCAAATGGCTGATGCTAGAAATATGGATTGATGTTTTTGGTCAGGGAACAAGAGCAAAACTGACTAGCATCCTGAACCATCTGTTATGCCATCCACCCTATAACATTGGAATTCATTGCATTTCTCACTTTCAATCTTTTCTCCCGTCGTAAGCTGAGGACAACCTGTCCGATTTCACAATGTGTTTGGAGGGGCTTAGCAAGAGATCAGACACCCCCTCCCCTTGGATTTAAGTTTGTGTAGCGCCTCTGTTTATTTGCTTGAGAAGACAACAAGCCAATATGCACTCCTCTTAAGATATGCACCATCATGTGGGTGGCTTCACTTGAAGGATGTGATTGCAGCATTGCAAGGAGTTTGCCAGTCATTTGTCAGTGATGGAACCTGTTTCTCCACTTCCATCTGCGATATTTTGCCATGTCTGTGCCAGGAAATCACTGAAACAGAAAGCAATTCCCTTGGCAGGCGTGGTTCTCCCAGATTAGCCTGGATTTGTTAAGAGGAAAAGAAATAGGCTGTAAGAATTCTCCCAATCGAATTCTTGTCTCAGCTACAACAAATATATATAGGCAGTCCTTGAGTTACAACCACAGCTGGGACTGGAATTTTCGTTGCTAAGCCAGGCAGCTGCTAAGTAAATTGTGCATCCAGGTTTACAGAACGGAAGGAGCTTCTTGGATGAGAAGCGAAAAGTTTTCAAGGGGGGAAACACCCCCCCCCAAAAAAACACGTCCAGTTGCCTTTTGAAAAAGAAAAAAAAAAGCACCTTTGGGATGCCTTGTTTAGCAATGGAAATTTGGGACTTCATTGTGGTCGTAAGTCGAGGACTACCTGCATGTCCTGTGCCCCAATCAGCTTCTTTTCTTCTCCTCGTTCTGGGTTTAGATGATCCAGGAGAGCAGTCACTACCCCACGCTGATGCAGCGAGCATCTTGGATGCTGGCAGTGCCCCTGAAGGAACAGTGTCATTTCCGCACGCCCAGCAACTCCATTGCCAACAACTACACCTTGACGGCGCGCGACCTGAAAATGAAGGATCTCCAGAGGTTGGCTTCACCTGTCCGAATCCGAAAGGCTTCTGGGTCCACCAAACAGAAAGCCGAATACCCACGTATCCTCCTACAGCGTAGAGATCCACGTCTATGAAGATTCTCCGTCATCCAGGTCACGGTTGTCCAAAAGGTGACTTTTTCAAAAGGCAACTGGACTTTCTTTGTTTTTCTTTGAAGACGTTTTGCCAATCAGCCAAGAAGCTTCTTCAGTTCAGAACTGAAGAAGCTGCTTGGATGAAAAGCCGAACATCTACAAGCAAAAACTAAGAAAATCCAGTTGCCTTTTGAAAAAGTCACCTTTGGGGCAGTCGGTGACCTGGATGACGGAGACCCTTTATAACCATTTTCTTTTCTTATTTTGGCCGAGGCTTTTCTTTAATGAGATCTCTTCAGCTGCTAAAGAGTATGCGCCATCTGAAAAGAAGATGAAAATATATGTAAAAAACATCGAGGGTGAATATGAAAGGTATTGTTATGTTTTTACCTTTTTTGCTTATTCAGTAGGTAATGATTGAACCCCCTGAATTCAGCCCCCTGAATAAGCCACGTTTTGCCAAGCTTGCCCAACATTCTCCGCCTTAACAAGAGTTTACAATCCGTAATGTTTGGGCTCACGGGCATGCTCTTAAGATCTAGTTCACCTAATCATGGTTTGTGGAATAAACCACAATGGGCTGCCTTTGCTTGGCATGCTGAGTTAGGAAACTTTACTTACGCCAAAACCAAGAAAACTGCATTGTGTCTCTTCGTAGCTACACAGCCCTTGTACCCCACAATGCCTTATAACTAATAAGTCCTTGTTATTAACAAGTATAGCCCCTTCCTTGGTTTGTTCATTTGTTCGTTTGTTTATCAAACTTGCATGCTGCTGATCTTGCCAGAGGAGATTCTAGGTGTCTTACAGACATTGAATAAAATGCAGAATAAAAGGTTCAATCGATCAAGAAATTTAAATATGGCATTACAATAAAACCAAGCAGTATGGATCAGGGAGGGTGTGTGTTCCCTGCTTAAATCTGTCACGTCCCCATTGGGGTCCCGAGCTAGTTGGCACAGCCATGTCTTCAAGGCCTTTTGGAAGAGATCTGACCTGGGGGAAAGAGATATTGCAGAGGGTGTGAGCCACAGTATCAAAGATAACTTCTCCTGGACCCTGCCAGCTGAAATTCCTTGGCTGTCAGGGTCTGCAGCTATCCCCTTCTGCTGGGACGAGCGGGGTGGGTTAACCCCATCAGGATGCATTGATTTCTCAGCTATTCAGGTTCAGGACTCACCTGTTGTCCCAAAGGTGCTTTTTTCCCCAAAGGCAACTGGACTTTCTTGGGTTTTTTTTTCCCCCTTGAAATCATTTTGCTTCTCATCCAAGAAGCTTCTGTTCTGACTCAAGATCCTCAGATGAGAAACAAAATGTTTTCAAGGGGAAAAAAAAAAAACCAAACCCCAAGAAAGTCTAGTTGCCTTTTGGGGAAAAAAAAAAAGCACCATTGGGACAACCTGGATGATGGAGAATCTGCACAGACAGGCCTTACCTGTTGGTTGTGGTTCATTTCAGGGCTGAAACGGTCTCGCAGGTGTGCAGTCTCGATTTGTTGAGGTTAGAAGTTCAAGTAATGGAGGACGGAGTTCCCCGTTATTCCGACAACCAGCCCCTGACCCCAGAGGAGCAGTTTGTTGTGATGCGTCATCGCGAGGAAGAGATGAACAAAGGACGACAGGCCCCCACAGAGGAAGATCTGAAGGTGGCTAAGCCAACTCACAAGGGGCCTTTCTGAGCCTCTTTTATCAAGCAGGCTTAGGTGATGCAGAACCACGGGGGCCTCACAGCCTTCCACGCTGTGGGCCTCTCCGCTTGGCAGAGCCAGTTTGGTCTCGTGGCTAAGGAGAATAGGGATTCAATTTTTTTTTTTTTTTACTACTGGTTCTGTGGGCGTGGCATGGTGGGCGTGGTGTGGCTTGGTGGGTGTGGCTTGGTGGGTGTGGCAGGGAAGGAAACTGCAAAATCCCCCTTCCCTGCCCACCCCACTAACCTGCTTTCCAGTTCTCTTCTCCTATGCAGGGCAACCAGAGAAGGGCCAGCCGATCAGCTGGGACTCAATGGGAAGCAGACAAGAGATGGGGGCGGGCAGTGGTGGTATTCATTTACGACCGGTTCTATGGGCGTGGCTGGGTGGGCGTGGCAGGGGAAGAATACTGCAAAATCCCCATTTCCCACTAACCTGCTTTCCAGCTCCGTTCTCCTGTGCAGGGCAACCAAAGGAGACCCAGCCAATCAGCTGGGACTCAATGGGAGGCGGAGAAGAGATGGGGTTGGCGGGGCCAGTCAGAGGCGGGATTGGCCGGTTCTCCAAACGACTCAAAATTTCCGCTACCGGTTCTCCAGAACTGGTCAGAACCGGCTGAATACCGCCTCTAGAATAGCCCCATTTTTCAGAGATACGCAATAAAAGGGCATTAGGGTAGTTGACTTTTACCAACAGAGGCACAGCAATACAGGTCATCCTCGTCATACAACAGTTCATTTAGTGTCACTGTTCAGAGTGACTGAAAAAGGTGACTTAGGACCTTTTATCACACTAAACAACCGTTGTAGCACCCCGTGGTCACACAGGATCTTGACAACTGATCACATTTATGACAACTGCAGTGTCCAAGAGTCCTGCACTTGCCTTTTGCGACCTTCGGACAAGCACAGTCCCTGGGGAAAGCAGATTCACTTAACGACCAGGTGACAAACTTAACAATAGAAGTGATTCCCTTAACAAAACGTGGCAAGAAAGGTCGTAAAACGGGCAAAACTCACTTAACAAGTTTCTCACTCAGCAACCTACATTTTGGGTTCCATTGTGGTCGTAAGTTGAGGAGTACCTGTACACTTTTTAAAACTAACGTGCCAGGCCATTGCACAACGTTTGATGAAGGGGTCCCCAACCTCTCATCCATGAACAAACAAGTGAAACTCCATCTACAGGATGTAGGCAGCATACAAAACCACAACTCCTGTGGTCCACCGAAGCGGCCCCTGGTGCCCAAAAGATTGGGGACCGCTGATTTAACAGATATTTTGTGGTCTGAATTGGCAAGCAGGATGATCCAAGGGTTTGTAATGCTAGTGATTGATTTTTTTTTTTTAAAAAATCATTTTGGATCTTTTGCAGAGATATTGCTATTACATCCATAAAGGCATCCGGAAAGACATGTTAGCACCGCAGGATGAAAACGTGCTGAACAATATTTTGACTCGCATCCCCAGTAATTTCCTTGCCAGCCCAGAACTGGAAGCCTTATTGAACAGTTTGATGGGAGAAATTCAAAGCGATTACCAGATTTGGCTCATGAAAAACATTGGTGAGTGGAGGACAAGCGTCCTTGGGCAAAGCAAAAAAAGAAATATTTTTTTTTGGCGGGGGGACAATCACTTCCTTCAAGGAGAACACTAAGAATTCAAGTCTTGACATTTTAGCAGGGTGAATTATTTGAATGCTCAGGTCGGTAAACCATAGCTTGAATAATACGTTGGTTAAAGGAAATCAGGCAGGTTTTCACTCCACCTTCCAAGCCCTAAATCATGGTTTGTAGCCATAGTAACTAGATTCACACAACACACTTCTCCAGGGTCAAACCAGGACTTCAAAGTCAGCATGGGGGGAATCAGTTTTTGTGTGGCAAGATAAAGTGGTTTGTTTGTTTGATCGTTTAAATTTGCCGTCCATCTTACCACCTTCCCTTTTGAATTAATACGATCAACTGAGCTTAAATATTTTTTTGTTCAAATGAATAAGACCCAGGAGTCATTTCAAAGCCACATTATGGAATTGGTTTTGTCTGTTTTTCTGGCTTCGGGTGAATGCAATCAGTTCTTTTGCACAGTGCCACCTAGTGCCTTTCGGTGCATTTAAGTCTAGCTTTTTAAAAGGTTGTATTCCTGTTTAATTACCTTTCTGGTTTGCTTCCAATACCTCGTCCTTCCCTTTTTGTGCCAGTTGATTACATCTTGATGGATCCAGATGAGAAAAAAAGGCTGTTTATATGCAACATCCCTCAACCTTTTCCTCAACGAGTCATCCGGGCTCCGGTTCCTTGGCACAAAATTTACCAAGACACCAAACTCTGGAACGAGACCCACCTCTTCACCGTGAATCCTATGATGCTCACTTTACAGCAACTTTGGTTTTCCGAGTGAGTCATCTTAACAATATTATTTTTTTGCTGTCCACAAATAAACTTTGAGGCAGGCAGCCTTGTTACCATTGCAGCTGATCCTCAGGTCACAATTACAGGGAGCTCTCGACTTTCAACCCCTTGCTTAGCGAAGTTGTTTAGTTGTTTAGCCACCGTTACAATAGCGCTGGAAAAAAGGACTTATGAGCTTTCCCACCCCCCACAACCGTTGTAGCATCTCCGTGGTCACCTGATCAAAATTCAGATGCTTTGCAACTGGTTCACATTTATGACGGTGGTAGTTTCCCGGGGTCATGCGATCCCCTGTTGCGACCTTCTGATGAGCAAAGTCAAATGAGGAAGTCAGATTCGCTTAACAACTATATTACTAACTTAGCAACTGCAATCAACAGTCACTAAGCGAGTAAACGCTAAACCATTTGTTTTTATGGAACAGTAGCTGTCATCCTCCAAGACTCCTTTCTTCTGCTATCTTTTCAGCTGCCATAGTAACATGGGGGAGGGTGAATCAGTTGGGCTTTGTGGGTATGGGAAGTGTGCTGGAGGTTTTAGAGAATGAACTGTATAACTTGGGGAAAAACTTTATTGTTTATGCTTCTTTGCTTGCTTACTGCGCAACTGCAGCTCTTTATCAAACTAGGCTAAGGTCAGTGGCCAGATGTCTGCATCACTACCTGAAGATGCCCCACAGGACATTATGCACATCTTCAATCGGATGGACCATTTGAACTCTTGTGGGTGGGAATGTTGCCATCACTTTGTATATGTGAATTCTCAGATCTAGAATCCTTTTGATGCTATCACTTGATTTCCATAACAAGTCCTTTTCTCTATAACAATGGAGTCTAGGGGTGTCTTTCTTGGATTTCGAATGGAGCGCTATCTGAATAGTACTGAATAAATTGACATATGTGTAGCCATTTTATTTAGCCCTTTTATATATTCCTTTTCTTTCTTTCTCTTGCTGGCATTGGGGGGGTGGGGGGAGGTTTCAGGCTTGCCACATTCCTAAAGTGAGAGGAGTGGAGATAGAGAGCGTTGTTTAGGCTAGGTAGTTCTCCTTCCCGTGGGAATGAAAGCTGACCTTGCTGAGACCTGGAGGTGGAGTTTGATGATACCAGGCAAAGTTGAGTTACTTCTGTCGGAGAATGTGACTTTTAGGGGTCGTTTCTAACTTCCAGTATTAAGTGGTGTAATTCCAGGTTGTGTTAGATCCGGAATAATGTCAGGTTTCCAAGTGATGAAATCCGTTCAAAAAAGAAAACAAAGCAGAGTCCATCTTCCATAATCATTTCTTTTATTTAGAATGACGCTAACAGGCGTAAACTCGGCCCAATTCCGGATGGCATAAGGTCGTGCGAACTGTGACTCTCTCTCCCATCCAGGTTTTCTGACCTGAGATTGGTTCGTACCAAGGAGATCCTGGAAGGGGAGCTGCCCCTCCTTCCGAGCGAATTTGAAGAGCTGATCCGAAGGCAGTGCCAGGAAGCTCACGAGATCCTTCAGACCAGGTTAGAAATATTCAAACCATGCCAAATATCCCCCATTTGATGACTTTCCTTGCCACCGTTGTTAAGCGAATCACAGCTGGTGATAAGTTAGCAACCTGGTTGTTAAGTGGTTTCCCCCCATTGACTTTGCTTGTCAGAAGGTCACAAAAGGGGATCCCATGATCTTGGGACACTGCAACCATCATAAGTACATGCCAGTTGCCAAGCATCCGAATGTTGATCATGTGACCACGAGGATGCTGCAATGGTGGTAAGTGTGAAAACCCATCCTGTCATTTTTTTTCAGGGCCGTTGTGACTTCAAGCGGTCACTAAACGAATGGTTGCAAGTCAAATACTACCTGCACTTTAATCCCTGCCTTTAATCACTGACTCTCTTTAGAAATGGAATGGAATGGAATAGAATAATGGAAAGAAGAGAAGAGGAGAGGAGAGGAGAGGAGAGGAGAGGAGA